TGCACGTATATTTAACACACAAACAGGAAAATGAAAGAACACCGGGATTTATACGTGGAAAACCCAAGAATGAAAAAAATAACGAGGCCTCACCCAGTTGCAAAATTTCACTAGCGTTTTTGTAAATTACAAGAAACTGATTCGTCCCACAAATCGGGACGGTCAGATTACAACTTGAAGCAAATTTACAAATTTTGCAAAATCCCGTCGTTTCAAGAAAATCCAGCAGAGTTCCGGCGTATTCAGGCGGCAGGAAGAGCTCTAGCGGTGGTCGAGGAGGAGAGGATTCGCCTTTTCCCCTTTTCCTTCTTCTTCTCTTCTTCTTCTCTGTCTTCACTTGAGTTCCCCTTGTGAAGAAATGAGGGCTCTATTTATAGTTTTTCTATAGTGGCATAGTTTATAAATAGGTGTGAGATCATGGGCGAATAGGGAGTGGTTTGAATGGACGGCCGATATTGAACCCTTCGATCGTGCACTGTTTGTTGGACATTTGGAGGCCTTAATGATGTCGAAGTTCAAAGATCTTTGGAAAGCCTACGCCATCCCTTGGGACCGCCTTTTTACTGCTTTCTAAAGTAACTTTTTAATTACAAAAGATTCTAGTTCAAAAAATTTTTGTATTAAAAAATTATTTTAGAAAAGAGCAAAAAAGTTGTCTCAAATGAAAAGAAAAAAATATATATATTAGAAACTTTATTTTACCGTACAAAATTTAAGAAATAAATAACTGTTAGCATTTAGCGTAATAAACTAAACCCTAAACTTTAATTGCAAAACAATTTTCTATAATTTGCAATAAAATAAATTTTTATCTTTCAAAACTTCATTATTTATAACTTGGTAAATTATTATCAGTGAAATTGAAATGAATATTTTTGTGATTCGATGAAAATATGTGACTCGAAGACTACGTTATCTCACTAATATAATCAAATGATTATATTACTTTTTCCATTCATTTAAAAATTATTTAGTTACTAATCATTGACTTGAAAATAGTTAAATAGTTAATCTCAAATAAATATTTTTATTACGATTTAAATTGATACCATAGTTAATAGAATGGTAAATAAATGTTTTTTTTTTTTTTTTTTTTTTTTTTTTTTTTTGTTTAACGATGTCATTGTTTTGATATAAAATTAAATTAAAATTTGCAACCTCAAAGATATCCTAAGGATCATTTGGAATAATTTTCTTGCTATTTTATTTTTCATTATGTAGTTATAATTTTACTTAGTTATTATTTTCATAATATTTTTCAAAAATTTATGTGATGATTTTTTTTCTTCATAATACTTCTAAGTGATAGTTAATCTCGTTTGAGATAGCTTCTTATTGTTTCTACGTTAACTTTCTAACACAAAAAAAAAATCTTCAAATAGTGAAAAAATAGTTGCAAAAAGCTGTCGTGTACGAAACCTAAGATTTCGTTTGATATGAATTTCTTGTGGTTTCTTAAAACAGTTTTTTAGTATAAACATTTAAATCTTTATACTTGTTGCGGCTTGAAAGATTCGTGGCGGTAGAATGAGTAAACTGTTCGTTTTAGTGATGTATGGATATCCAGCACACAAACAGAAAGAGAGAAGCAAAACACCCGATCTTTTTTATGTGGAAAGCCCGAAGAGGGAAAAACCACGAAGCCTCGCCCAGGTGAAAATATTTTACTAAACTTGAGTGAATAGCAAGGGTTGACCCGTCCCTCGATTTAGAGCTGGTCAGATTACAGTAATATGAGGATCTAGTCAAAGGCTTGGTGACGAACGACGGCCGGGCGGTGGTTTGACGATGGTTGGGCTGAAGTACGGCGGTGGTCGACAGCCGGGTGGTGGTCCGACGAAGGTCGGGCTGAAGTCCAGTGGCAGTCGACGGCCTGGCGGTGGTCCGACGATGGTCGGGTTGAAATCCGGCAGTGGGCCAACGAAGGTCAGGCTGAAGTTCGGAGGCGGTCGGAGGCCAGCCGGAGGTCCGGCAACTATCGGCGGCCAGGCGGAGGTCCGGCGGCGGTCGGCGGGCGCAACGAAGGTCGGGCTGAAGTCCAATGGTGGTCGACAGCCGGGCAGAGGTCCGACGGCAGTCGGTGGCCGTGCGAAGGTCCGGCGGCACTCGATGGCCGGGCGGTGGTGCTAGAGCTCTCGAAGCTTTAGAGCTCTCTCCAATCTCAAGCCAAAGGTCCCCCTCATGTAGAGAGTGGGGATCTATTTATAGATTTTCATGGGTGGCACGCCCCGTAAATTTAGAGAAGATCCTAGGCAGGTTCAGGGTGATCCACCGTATGGCTCGTATTGATTCCCCCGATTGTAGAGAGTTTTTCAACTATTTAAGTGCCTTAACGATGTCGAAATTCAGAGATCTTGGGCTCGTTGGATTCGTCTCGCTGAGATGCTCGATTTGATTATAGGAATGCCATATTTGGATATCATTTTGTCATCCAAATAATGTTTTGCTTCCAAATATGGTCTGGCCCCCGATTCAGACCCATTTGGGGTTGGGTTGGACCAATTTTTGTGCTGTTTGGTTCGCCTCTTTGAGATGCTCAATTTGACTATAAGTTTGCTAAAATTGGAATTCATATGATTTAATTTTGAAAGTTTCCAACTCGAATATGTCACGAGATTCATGCTTGATTAAAGCAATTTTGAGGACGTATTAATTCTAAAAAGCTGCATAAAAAAGTATTAAAATAATACATTTCAAATAAAGCCTAAGTCTTAACTCTATTATAAAAACAAAATTCAAGTGATTATATTGGCGGACCGAACCTGTTGGCCTCTGTCTACACATTTGAATCCAGGCCATAGTGAAGGAAATTTTATCTTTACTTTTTTTTGTGACGAGGAAGCACTATATATTCTTAGGCTAGTGAAAATTCCGATCGACCTAGCATGCAACCCACACCAATTTACACGGGCCAAATTGGGCCAACTTGGTCCGTGTAAATTGGTGTGGGTTGCATGCTAGGTCGACCGGAATTTTCACTGGCCTAAGGACAGCGCTTCCTCGTCACAAAAAAAAAAAGAGTAAATTTTATGTTTATTTATTCGTTTTTTTATATATGCTTAATTTAAGCTGCCTTCTTTATTTTTTTTATTTTTATTTAAGGGTCTCTTTGACTCGAAGTAAAATGGGTGTTAAGCAAATTGAATGCAATGGTTTTGAAAAGTTTGATGCTTGGTTGGATGAAAAAAATATATAAAATAAAGTATAGTAAATGTAGTGTAAAATAATTTATCTAATTTTTAAGATAAATAATTTTTGCCCAATTTTAAGCGAGAACCGTTTACACCATAAGCAAAGTAGGCCGCAACTGACCGCCGTCACCCGTCGGCGCCGGCCGCCACCCATCCAGGGGCGGAACCAGCCTTTCATCTTAGGGTGGGGGGCAAAATTTTCTTAGTATAATAGCCTAATATATACAAAAAGATGACATAATTCAAAGTGAAATCATGTATTCCATTATGATAGGAAAATTGAAAATCATTACAATTTTATCAATCTATTTTGCATTTTTTGATAATATTGGATAACATCTTCATTGGGAATCAAATCAAATACATCTTTTTCAATGTAAGGCACAAGACAATCGTTGAGCCAATCATCACCCATCCTACTACGCAATCGATGTTTGATAATTTTCATGGCTGAAAATGCTCTCTCCACCGTAGCAGTTGCAACTGGTGAGATTAATGATAAAGTAATAAGTTTGTAAACCAAAGGATACACATCATTTTTCTTGAACTTAACAATCTGCTTTGCAAGATCAGCAATGCTTCTTAGAGAGGAGAACTCTTAAATGGTCTGCATATCGATAATGTACGTTGCTAATTGATTTTTAAGAGCAATAACCTCAATTGTAGAAAAATCACTTGGATATAACTCTGCTAGACATATCAATTTCCTCTCATCATAAGCACGAAAAGAATCACTTGGGCTTAAGCATGACATACACAAAAATAACTCAGCACTTGATTCAGAAAAGCGATTATTTAGCTCTTGAAGTTGCATGTCAACTACTGTATAAAATGAGTTCGGAGCAAAGCAGAGCAGGAGCAGTGCGCGGAGATGCAGATTCAAGTTTCAAGAACAAAAAATCAAATGAGTTCGTTCGGAGTGGAGTTATCGCGACTTCGTTCGGAGCAGAGCAGGGGCAGTGCGATTTTGTTCGGAGCAGAGCAGGGGCAACGCGCGGAGATACTCGTTCGTTCGGCGGGGCAGATTAGAAAAATTTGATATTAGGACAAATTTTAACCTATTGAAGGGGCAAATTACCTAATAGCCCTTAGACTTAAAAGGATTTTACATTTTTTGAGGGGGGGCCAATCGGCCTGGCCGAAGCCTCGATCGGCCTGGACGATGCATACAGAAAATCACCTGGAGCAAATCTGGGCAAATTCTGGAACAGATTCTTAACTGATCGTCCCAGGACGATCCCAGATCGTCCTGGACGATCCTGGAGCAGATTTTGATATTACACCACCGTCCACCACCGTAGCTACCACCCTCCGTCCACAGTCGACCGCCAACCACATGCTACCATGCCTTTGGTCGTTGCTACTCATGAGTTGTCATCAACTTTAAATTTTACATTATAGTTATTTTATTTCAAATCAAAAAAAAAATTATTCACCTAAATTTATTTTATTTTCATCAAAAAATCTAAAATTATTCATTTTATATTGCATTTCCTTTTTAACAAACCAAAGGTCCAAAAAGGATCCTAAATAAAAAGAAGATCGTTGATTACTTCAATGCTATGAGCCCCTAGAAACCATTGGCTAACTAGAGCTTCTCCTTTCTTTCCGCCCTACAAATAACGCGCACCCTCTCTTCCCTCCTCTTAGAGTTTTTTTAGGAATAATTAAATCAATTAAAATAAATTTATACAGATTATATATTCAAAACTCTAATCTAAAATATGTTCATTGATAATCAAAACTTCCATCAAAAACAAAAAATCTAGAATTCCTTTAGGACTCCAAATCCCAAAAAGAAACAAGAAAATGTTCTCAACTCCACACTTTTCCGAGTGCTTCGATACCCCGACGGAAGAGCAGAAAGTCGACGAACTCCGCGCCCGACAGCACCACGAGGAAGAAATCTATAGCCTACCTCGGCATGAAGGATGGCGACAGCTGTCTCTCCGCCTCTACAAAGGTTTCTGGTTCCCCGAAGCCATCCTCCCCGGCGTTCTCTCCCTCCGCCACCACCTCCGCCCCACTTCTTCCGACATCTTCCTCGTCAGCTTCCCGAAATCCGGCACAACCTGGCTCAAAGCCCTCGCCTTTGCCATCAGCACCCGCAAACCTGAATTACTCCAATCCCGCCACCCGCAGGACTGCTCCCCTAATCTGGAGACCTTCTTCGCCGGCCCCCGCGTTCCTGACCTGGACGCGTTGCCCTCCCCAAGGCAGTTTAGCACCCACATCCCCTACTCTGTCCTGCCCAAATCCGTCCACGACTCTCCCTGCCGGATTATTTACCTTTGCAGAGAGCCCAAAGACACGCTCGTTTCAACCTACCACTTCGTCAATGGAATGCAACGCCCTGAAGCGGCCCCGCAAATGCCGTTGACGGAGGCGGTGGAGCTGTTCTGCAAAGGGCTGACAATGTACGGTCCGGTGTGGGAGCATCAATTGGAATACTGGCAGGAGAGCCAGAGGCGACCGGAGAAGGTGCTGTTCCTCAAGTACGAGGATTTGATGGCGGATCCAGAGGCCATTGTGAGAAGGATGGCGGAGTACATGGGAAAGCCCTTCTCGGCGGCGGACGAGATGAATGGGATGGTTGGGGAGATTGTCAGATTCAGCAGCTTTGAAAAGCTTAGTGGATTGGAGATTAATAAGGTCGGATTGTGGGGGAAGGAGTTCGATTTGGGCCATTTGGCCATAAAAAAGGCTTCTTTTTTTAGAAATGGGAAGGTAGGAGATTGGACGGAGCATTTCACCGCAGAGATGGCTGAGAGGTTTGACGCCATTGCTCGGGACAAATTTCATCAGAGCGGATTGACCCATTCGCATTCATCTGTTTAATCCATTTATATTTTTAATTCGCATCTCGTTCATGAAATGTAATAAACTATAAGTATTCTCTCTTTATTCCTTTTTATTGTACTGAAATCGAGCGTTCCTTAATTCTTGTAATAGACTCTGCTCATTATCATCTCTGTTTCCGAATAAAGGTTCAAAAAATTAATATCTAAATAAATAATAATGTTCTGAAGCCAAATAAACAAACGAGTTCAAAAAATTTGTAATGAAGTTTTAGGTTTTGTTTGGAATAGCTTTTTTATTACATTCTAAAATAGTTTTTTCATACACAAAATTTTAGTTCAAAATTTTTTTGAAATAAAAAATTATTTAAAGCTTGTTTTGAGAGAGCTTTCTTACAACTTTTAAAACGGATTATTGGTACAAAATATCTTATAAATTAGAATTTTTGTAGAAAAATAATTTTAAAAAGCAACAAAAAAATTGTCTCTAACAAAATCTTAGAAGTATGAATGGAACTCCATTGGACCTACTTCACTTCTCAAGCGGTCACCTTTGGGGCTATGATAATGACTAGTTAAACATTAACAAGGCTCCAAATAAAAATAAATAAAATACAATTATGCTTGGCAATAGTGGTTAGAGACTCATGGTCGAGCGATTGTGGTCAGAATGATCGAAGTAGGGTGATGGTTGTCGGAGGATCATGGAGGGGTGATGGTAGTGAACGACCCATAGTCTGGCAATGGTGATCGGCGAGCCATAGTTTGGTGATATTGGTTGAAGAACAGTGATATGACGATCGCGATCTGGCGATATTCCAATGGTCGTGGTCAAATGGTGGCTTGATAGAGACTTGAAATGGTGTGCTGACGGCGGCGTTTGGGTGGTCGATAAAGGATGATGGCAAGTGGTTGTCCTAAGGCATTTGGTAGGTGATGGTCTAACTGCTACAATCAAGAGGTAGTCCAACAACTATAATTGGATGACGGTGGGGCAATTGTGCTTTGATATCCTTAGAGTCTAAAAGTTCTCCTTAATTTTAAGCCGATGTCGAAGCAGTCGATCTTAAATCCTCCTTTTATATAGAGAGTGATGATCTATTTATATATTTTAGAGAGTAACATGCACCATATATACAGAGCAAATTCAAAACTCTTCATCGGCCGACCCATATTAATTCACTTTTTATACATTACTTCTTTAGTTTGTAAGTGCCTTAATGATGTTTGAATTAAGTGATCCTGGCTCATTAGATTAATGTTGTAGAGATCCTTGATTTGATTATAAACATACAAGATTTGGCGAACATTTGACGATCCAATTAATGACATGAAGTTCTCTATTATGCTTTAGGTGCTCGATTTGGGCTCATTCAAACATGGATTGGAATACTTTTGGTACCATTGGGTTATGTCATCGTGACGTTCAATATGACTACAAGTTTTGCGGAAATTAGAGCTCAAATAATCTAAAATTTAATTTTAAAAGTTTTCAATTCAAATATGCATTCCTAAATATATGTATTCGATCAAAACAATTTTCTGTGACAACAATGAGTATCAATAAGAATATGCAAATTCAACACTTTTAGATAATGTTTTTAATAATATTATTTTAATATTTTTAAATCACTATTTTATATTTTTATTCAATAATGATGTTGTTGCATGCTGAAATATTCATGACAGTAGAGAGATATAGAGTTTAGCATCCTAGTTTTGTATGAAGATCTAGCACATATACAAATAAGATAAAGAGGTACAAAAATCATAAAAGAAACCCAATTTTTATGTGAAAAACCTCCACTAGTATTTGTCATTAATTACAAATGATGCCCTTCCTCAAGAAAAGCCTTTGACTAAGGGTGTAAATGAGTTGAACTGAGCTCGAGTTTGGGCTAACTTGAGCTCGGCTAGTCAATTAAGAGAAAAATTGTAACTCAAGCTCAGCTAACCGGAGTTGCAACGAGCTCGACCTTGACTCACGAGCTTACTTTATTGGAGGAAGAAGTCAGGATGTCAGGTTGTCGGAATTACATCGTGCTTGAGCTCCAATCATGAGGCTCATCGAAAAAGGAGATTAGGACGTCAACTCGTGAGCTTTCCTCATTGGAGAAAGGAGGAAGTGAGGACAATGGTTGCCATAGTTAAGGCGAACTCATGCATCAACCCATTCTATGAATTTTTATTGGGTGTAGACATCGGACGTAGCTCGACGTTTGAACGCCAGTTAAATGATGCCATGTAGCAACCCGACAACTCGTAGACCCGACTAGCCGAAAAGTCGAAATGATGCACGCGCGTTTCTGAATACCGTGCGGCCTGAAGACCTAACCCAAAAATTTAAAAGAAACTGAAAAGAAGACCGCGGGCCACTGTTGAAAAAAAAAATCCAAAATCGAGGCTTTTTAGTTTCTTTGGCTGAAATCCATTTACAAGCGAAGATAAAAAATCCGGCGACATTTAGTGGTATGGAGGAAATCCGGCTTCAATTAACGTTCGAGCAAAATTCCGGCGTCCATCAGTGGTTGGGCGGATGTCTATTGACAGTCGTAGACATGGCAAAAGTTCGACGTCCGAGTTGAAGTCTAGTAGTGGTCGAGGAGGAGTCTGATGGCAAGAGAGATCTCTTCCTTCTATTCATTCTCTTCATTTATTTCTTCTCTTCTTTCTCTTCTTTCTTTTCTTTCTTGGTTGGGCCCTCTTCCATGAAAAATGAGAGGTCTATTTATAATTTTCTGAGAGTGGCATGACCTGTAAATAGGAGCAAGATGAATGGTGAATTGGGAGTGGTTTTAATGGAAGACTGATATTGAATCCCTTGATCATAAATCATTTATTGGGCATTTGAATGTCGTAATAATATCAGAATTTGGAGTTCTTATTGTCGTTGGATTCATCTTGTCGTGACGCTCAATTCTACTATAAGCATGTCACATTTGAAGACTGATTGGTAATCCAAATTATGGTTTAAGCCTTCCATTATTCTAAAAAATTATGGATTAGTCTTCGGGTTTTTGATTTGGACTCATTTGGGCTTGGATTGAGTAGAATTTGGGGTCTTTGGATTTGTATTTCTGAAACGTTCAGTTTGACTATAAGTTTGCTGAAACTAGAGTTTAGATGATATCAGATTTAATTTTTGAAGTTTCCCACTTAATTTTGCTTTAAGATTTGTGCCCGATCAAGATAATTTTTTGATTATATATCAATTATTAAAAAAATTATTAATTTTAAATGAAAATTTAATATAATATCAAAAAAAATTATTTATATAGTCGACCCTACTTAGTACATAAATTCTTGTTGTTAGTTTCCCTCCACCGTCTCAACATTCCCTGCAAGTCTCGGAATGCGGCCTCTGGGCCGTGGGGCAGGTCATCCAGGAAACCGTTTGCATCGGATATCGTGTCACCGACAACCTGTTGACCCACCGGATAGACTGCTATCGCGGGTTTCGTGTCGGCAATCTATTACTCTCACACTCTGGTACACTTCTCTGTTTCTCGACTTCGCTAGACCGCTACTCGCCTTCTCATTTCTTTCAGTCTCAAACGCGCGTGGGGGAGAATGAAGACGATGCGGCTGATGGCAGCGACGCTGTCGTTGCTGCTGTGTTTCGGAGTTCTCGGAGTCGTATCGGACGTTTCCAATCATCGCTACAAGCCAAATGATGAGGTCCCTCTCTACGCCAACAAGGTCGGACCGTTTCATAACCCAAGGTATGAATCTCATTTATTTTCTCATTTTTGGTTTGGTGGAGCTACTCTCGTTGTTAGATCCGTTCTCTCTTCTCCTTGACTTGACGGTGTTATTGGGTTATGTTCACCTTGTAGAAATATAGAAGCTAGATTGCAGACCTAATGAAGAAGAAGAAGAATCTCATATTATTTTCACTTACTCTGTTATACAACCCAGCTCTATATTTATAGCTATTACATTAGGCATGTAAAACATATAAGAGCTGGAGTTAACAATAATTACAATAATACTTAAACACTTAAATACTTTATACATTTATCCTTGACATTCCCCCTCAAACTGATTATTGCAGCCAATGGTCAGTTTGGAGCGAAGGATTTTATATCTAGGTGTGGCCAATGGCTTGGTGAGAATGTCCGCGATCTGATCGACCGTGCTGATAGGTAGTAGCCGAATGACATTGTGCTGTATGTGATCTCGAACAAACCTCTGGTCAATCTCGATATGTTTTGTTCTTGCATGAAAGAGAGGGTTATTGGCAAGTGCAATAGTAGAGATATTATCGCAATAGACATCAACTGGTTGAGAATGCTGAATGCAGAAATCCTCGAGAAGCCGCTTTATCCAGATAGTATCGGCGGTGGCAGCTGCTAACGCCCTGTATTCTGACTCAGTAGAGGATCGGGATACAGTGGTTTGTTTCTTTACAGTCCAAGACACTAGAGTATCGCCAAGAAATGTACAGTAGCCAGACGTGGATTTGCGAGTGATTGGATCCGAGGCCCAATCGGCATCCGAGAAGGTTCGAAGAATCATATTGGAACGAGTAATTGGAAGGCCGAATTCTGTAGAGCCTTTGATGTACCTGATGAGTTTCTTTAACATTTTGGTATGCGAGACGGATGGGTTGTGCATGTGCTGAGATAGAGCATTGACGACATATGCAATATCTGGTCTCGTTAAGGTGAGGTATTGCAATGACCCGATAATCCGGCGATAACTAATTGCATCGAAGAGCGGCTGGCCTGCATCCGTCAGGTCTGTGGGTTTCGTAAATGATGGATTAGCGGCCGAGTTGCATTTTTGTAACTCAGCCATTTGAACAATAGAATTGGCGTATAAACTTTGAGATAGGAAGTACTTATCTGGATAAGATTCTATCTTAATGCCGAGAAACTGATGTGCTGGACCCAAATCTTTCATAGCGAATTTTGATTTGAGTTGAACCACTAGATCAGTCATGGCCTTAATATTGTTGCCGGTGAGAAGTATGTCGTCGACATACACAAGTAGATAAAGTTGGACGTGCTCACGGTGAAAAATTAATAGTGATGGATCTGCCCTGCTGTGATTAAAACCAATATGAAGTAAGTAAGATGTGAAAGTAGTGTACCATTGTCGTGGAGCTTGTCGGAGGCCGTAGATGGCTTTCTTAAGATGACAGATGTGGTTCGGTTTGGAAGGATCTTCAAACCCTTTAGGTTGTTTCATGTAAACCGTGTCCTGAATCTCTCCGTGCAAGAATGCGTTTGCAACGTCGAGTTGATGAACCGGCCATTTGTGAAACAGAGCAATTGTAAATAAAATTCGAATTGTAGGAAGCTTTGCGACCGGGCTAAAAGTGTCTTGATAATCAAGACCATGTTCCTGTTGATTTCCTTGAGCTACGAGACGAGCTTTGAATCGTGCCACTGCACCATCCGATGTATATTTTGTTCGGTAAGTCCATTTTGAACCCAATATTTGTCCGTTTGCAGGAGGCGGTACCAATGTCCATGTACCCTGTTTTTGCAAGGCTAAAAATTCTTTGGCCATTGCTCGTCTCCATTCAATCTTTTTGCATGCTTCGGCGTATGACGTTGGATCGGATTGCAGTTGGGTGTGATGAAGAAGATTAAGTTTTTGGACAGGTTTAAGAGAGCCTGTTTTTGATCTGGTTGTCATGTGGTGAGCAGGAGGTAGTGCTGGAGAACTTGGCAGCGGACCAACTGCATCCGAAGCTGGTGTGGGAGCAGTAGTTGCTGGATTAAGAGCATTGTATATATCGGTTTGATCCGGAATTGCAGGCCTTGGTGTATGGATAGTATGAGTTTGGCGTTGAATTGTTGATGGAATAAGCAACGCAGGCGGCACGTCTGGTGTAGAGTTAGTAGCCGGATTCACTTTGTGCCTGAATGGAAAAGAAGTTTCATTAAATTTGACATTGCGCGAGATGATTAATTTGTTTGTTACCGGATTCCAACATTTTTAGCCTTTTGAGTTTTCAGAGTAACCAAGAAAGACACATGCGGGTGACGTGGGGCTTAATTTGGTGCGATGAACCGACGGTAGAAGAGGATGACATTCACATCCAAAAACCCGCAAATGGTCATAGGAAGGAATGATATTAAACATTCTTTGTAACGGTGAGATGTTCTCGGTCGTAGGAGAAGGAAGTCGATTTATAATGTACGTAGCGGTAAATGCAGCTTCCATCCAATAGTTCATGGGTAAGGCGGCAGTATGAAGAAGCGTTCTTGTCATAGTTATGATATGCCGATGCTTACGTTCAGCTATACCATTTTGTTCAGGAGTGTATGGACACGAAATTTGATGCCGTATACCTTGTTTTGCTGTAAATTCCTGAAATTTGCGATTGACGAATTCGCCACCGCCATCAGTTCTAACAGTTTTTACCTTGTGACTAGTTTGTCTTTCAATAAAGTTAATAAAGTGTATAAAAGTATTAGTAACCTCAGATTTATGTAAGAGAGGAAACAACCAACTAAAACGAGAAAAATCATCTATAAAAACCACATAATACTTGAATCCCTGATGTGATGAAACCGGTGAGGGATCCCATACATCAGAGTGAATTAATTCAAGTGGAGCAAGACTTTTACTAATGGATTTTTCGAATGATAGTTTGTAACCTTTACAGGAAAGGCAAGGTGTGCATGCAGAATTAAAAGATTTAATATGTAAAAATGGATTGTTCTTGGAGATTTGCTGAAGAACCCGCTGATGGGGGTGTCCGAGACGGCAATGCCAGTCCACCGAAGTTGCAGCGGTTGCAGTGAAAGCTGTAGGAGTATGGTGCGGAGATTGGCTTGTTATTTTGTACAGGCCATTGCTACACGGTCCTGTGAGAATGACTTTGTTGGTCGTCCGATCCTTAAAAGCAAAACCATTTTCATCAAAGATTATAGAAATTGGGTTATCCTTAACCAAGTTAGATATAGATAAAAGATTATACGATAGATTAGGAATATGAAGTAAGCGAGATAAGTTTAGCTTACTGGCCGGGGTGGGAAGGAGTCCCGAGCCCGTGTGAGCTATGGGAACGGACCTTCCGTCCCCAATTGTTACTGAATCATTGCCTTTGTAAACGTTGTAGACGTCCAAATTGTCAATGGTATTTGTCATGTGTGCAGAAGCTCCCGAATCAAGGTACCAATCAACCGCCGAATTGCTGTCGTTGGTAGCCACCAATGCCGAGTTCTGTTTTGAAGAAGCGTTTGTAGAATTCGGTACATAGTTGATGTTTAACCGGTGCCAACACGCGTCAGCGAGATGCCCTTTCTTTTTACAAATTTGACAGATAATGCCCGAATTCTGGGAAGATTTGCTTGGCGGAGGATGCTCGTGACCCGATCGTCCTCGACCACGGCGACCACGACCTCTGAACGTGTAGAGAGTCGACTGTGTGTCCGGTGGTTTAGGATACTTGAGTGCAGCTGTCTTGAGATGAATTTCTTCACTCATAAGAAGCGCGTACAGAGTATCTAGGGACAATGGACCTTGCATAGTACGTATACTCGTTGTGAACGGCAGATACTCGGGAGGAAGACCGTTCAAGATGTATATGATTACATCTTCCGGATCGACGGACGACCCTGCGGACCAGATCTGATCCACGATCTTCTTTATGTCAGTGAGATACTGAGTCATGGATGAATTTTGCATCGAAACATTGTGTAACTCATGTTTGAGCTGAATCACTTTGGATCGATTTGACGACTGAAATCTTGTATGAAGAGTCATCCAGATTTCGCTCGTAGATTCGAGATGGATGACGTACGGTAGAACCGCCGGCGAAATGGTAGAACACATTGCCGTTGCAAGATTTTGATCGGTGATGCGGCTTATTTTAGGATCTTGATTCGGATCGGCATTTACTTGCGCGACTGAGGAATCAAGAAAGCTTGCAAATCCGTTCGCCTTGAACAACTTGGCTATTTGCGTACTCCAAATTGGAAAATTATCCGGCGTAAGAGCGTGAGGAACAAGAAGTTTAAGATTCGAAATTACAAACAGGAGGGCTGGCGGAATGAGCGACGGCATTGAAGCGGAGTTCGTAGAGACTCCGATGGAGGAGGCGGCGGAATCTTGATGCGCCATTGGATCAATCCGTGCAGGAGAAGAAGACTCTTGATACCATGTAGAAATATAGAAGCTAGATTGTAGACCTAATGAAGAAGAAGAAGAATCTCATATTATTTTCACTTACTCTGTTATACAACCCAGCTCTATATTTATAGCTATTACATTAGGCATGTAAAACATATAAGAGCTGGAGTTAACAATAATTACAATAATACTTAAACAGTTAAATACTTTATACATTTATCCTTGACACACCTACCATGGGCTGATTTGATTGAATTTCTTATTTCTTTTGTTGGATAGTGATTTTTTTTTATTTCTTTTGGCTTAGATCGATTGATTGGGACTCGAGTCGATTAGTTTTGAGGAACCATTTGCTCGTCTTTTTTTTAATTAAGTTGTATATTTGGATGAGCAACCGGTCAAATATATCGAAGAGGGGGTTCTCTGAATTTATTGCATTAGTTATTTCCTCGTTTTAGTCTCTAGCTTGAATCAATAGTTATGCAAGAGGTAAACCAAATCAACATATGCTTAACTCTGTTGTTTTGCATTCTCCTTTTAAAGCTTTAATTAAAAAACCTTGTGAATAAAATTGTATATTACTAAGAAGTAAAAATCAGAGCATAAGAAAATTGCAGAAACTGCTTTTTTTTTTTCCAATTTTGCAATATGTTTGATCTATTCAAACTGGTCAAAGTTGATCATATTAACTTGAAAAGATCTTCAAATATTCGAAGTTGTTCTGCTTCTTCAATTAGTGGTTTTGGTGTTAGTAATTCAGGAGGATCTTTGAGAGCTCATCTTGAGCTCTTCTTGCAAGAGAGAGAGAGAGGGAGGGAGAGGGAGGAGAGAGAGAGATGGAAATTTGGAGGTGGAAAACTACCTAAAGATTTATTAAATTTTCGTCAAATCTTTACATCACATAAGACCTCTATTTATAGAGCTTTACAAAGTTGTGGTAAAATGCAGGAATAACCTAACTAAAACTGGACCAACACCTCACATTTGGCTATGCTGGGGTTGGTTGGCATGGCCTTGTGATATTTAATGCGTTGTCACATCCGATATCCATATGGTGGTTCACCATGGATACATTGTGTATAATTAGAAAGCCTCAACCTTTCAACTTTTTGTATTAAAGATCAATGGTTACTTGCACAAAAGAAGCTTCATTGGAAGTAAATCAATTCGAAAAAAGCAAATATTATACATTCTAGATGCCCAAGCTTAAGTTTTTCTTGGCTGAAATAAAAACAAGTTGAGATTTCTCGAGTGTAAGCATGATATAGCAACTTTTAAACCAACAAAAAAACTTAAAGCTTTGGTAACACTAATTCTTCTTACGTGATATTTATCGCAGACATGTTTGACCTGAAAAAATTATGGTTCAATTTACGTAGCCTTCCTTGCCTAGTGATTGCTGACTCTTCGATGGTGTTTGGTTGTCAGTCAAGCAACATTGGCAATCTCTCGATCATGAAAACATTTAAGTGTGGGTAAACAAAGGCTTATGAAGAAAATGGAGGTTGCCTCAATGGCTTTGCAGGCCATTTTGGTGATGATTAGTGAATGGAATAAGTTTTAGTGAAAGAATAACCCTGGAAGAAAATGATCTTTTACAACAAGTTCACAGAGTTGGTTGGGGTGGCAGAGCACCAACTGACGTAGGGAGCTGTGTCAAACAATCTTGCTGAAGTTATCTCACAATGTTGATTTTCTCTCTCATAAATTGTGGTAACGAAGACAATTGGATTGGATGTTAAGCCCCTTCATGTGCCCTTATTATGAAGGGGAGTTCATCCAGTACTATAATCTAGATTCTGAGCCTCTATATCTCCTTAACATTATTTTATATCAGTCTCTGAAATTCAGTAAAAAATAAAAAAACTTTTCGGAATCTTCAAAGGTCCAGAATTTTTAAGCAAATTATTAAAGTGATAACTTCAATTTTTTTGTTTTCTTGATATCTCAAAATTATGAACCTATTGCTTTAAAGACAAGTAATTTTGAATGGGTTATTAGGTCTGTCCTGTTCATTGTTTAAACATTGATGCCTATGCTTTGCAAGCTATAAATTTCTCTTCCAATTGTCATAACAGAGCATTTTTTTGCCCTAAAGCAGCCCTACGGACTGTAACTTGTATTAAATAGACAGGACATTGGACAATGGTGATTACGTTTTTTTAATGATTGATATTATGGTTTATTTATTTGAATTCCTTATAAGAGCATGTGGTCCTTATTTGAGAGCTCATGTTTTAAGTGTTGTTTTAAGCCAAACAGCTTATATCCTTCAATGCTGAACCTACTTAAAAAATTTTATCATGTTATAATCAAAAGAAATTTAAGCTACTAATCAAAATCATACTCTACATGTCGATTGATTAATAAATATTTTGCATCATATGGTTTGGTGTATTTTTAACCATTGAAACTTGGATTTTTAATCTATTAATGTTAATATATCTTTTTGATTCATTGTAATGGTTCAGTTTAATGTGTGTGTGTGTGTATATATATATATATATACACGCTCAGCCTTCTAAAGAAACTAGTTAAGCGTTCAAAGCAATGAAATACAAATTAAAAAGAACAGCATCTTGTTGCTCATATTGTTTTGAACAACGTTTAGATTAGTTTTTATTGGTCTTGCTTGTACTTTCTATCATTTGACGAATTAAATTGAAAAAAAGTATTCACTGTATTCTGTTTCTTTTTTGCCTGATTTATTAAATTTTAGACATTTTTCAGATTTTTTTGGTGATAATTATATTTCATCTTATTTTATGGATTCATTTTTAACTATTCATGTTTTGTGACCTGTTTTATTGGCATCCAGTGAGACATACCGTTACTTTGATCTCCCCTACTGTTCACCAGGTTAGCTTTTTCATTACCTCCTGTTCTCCATCTCATTTCTTTCTTTAAATTATCTTTTTCACCTCTCTTTCATGTTTTATAGCATATTCTTCTTGTTTCAATTTTGGAAATGTGGCAGCACCTGTGAAAGATAAATCAGAAGCTCTTGGCGAAATTCTGAATGGTGATCGCTTAGTTGATGCTCCATACAAGCTTGAGTTCTGTGTTGATCATGATTCAAAATCCGCGTGCAAAAAGAAGCTTACTAAGGAAGAAGTGGTCAAATTCAGGAATGCAATATATCAGGATTATTACTTCCAGATGTACTATGATGACCTTCCAGTTTGGGGTTTCATAGGGAAGATTGACAAGGAAGGCAAGACTGACCCAAGTGAGTACAGATACTTCCTTTACAATCATATACTTTTTGAAATCCTCCACAATAATGACCATGTGATTGAGATCTCTGTTCATACGGATACCAATTTAATGGTTGACATTACTGAGGATAAAGACATAGAGGTGGAGTTTATGTATTCCGTTAAATGGAAAGAAACAGAGATACCTTTTGAGAAGAGGATGGAGAAATACTCTGCACGCCACTTGGAGACTCACTGGTTCTCTATAATAAACTCATGTGCCACAGTTCTTCTACTGACTGGATTCCTTGCAACAATCCTAATGAGAGTTTTGAAGAATGATTTTGTTAAGTAAGTTTTATTTTAAATCATATAAACTTTATTCCATCTTATTTCATGCATTTTTTTTTGAAGTTTAAATAACTGATATAATATAGGTATATGTACATGGTATGTTTATTTGAAACCTCTTCAGACTTTTTTATTCATTGCATGATAAATAAACTACTTCTCTTTCCTTTAAGCCGTTCATTTGTTAGCAAACCTCTTTTTGGGTCAGAACCTCTTCGGCTTTGCAAGCAGACCATACAAAATTTACTGTTAGGACTAACCTTGAACATACATATGCTCTTTCTAGCAATACTTTCAAATTCATTCGGAGAAGGGATTTGTTCGGAGGAACCAAGGATTCCTATGGAATAGGAAGAATCTTGATGGAGTGGCAGTGGTGGATAATCAATGCACAAACTATCAGATTTTTTATCAATAGAATGCATGAACATATTGAAGTGATGATCCAATGGAGGCAATTTGAACATTGGCTTGCTGTATAGATTTTTGGATTTTGGCAAATTGCAATTCTTGATTGATTTATATCAATCGAAGAACTTCTACTAGATTGGAGTTTTTCATTTTGCTTGATTGTTGAGGGCTGATTGAAGTTGTGCCTAGGTGGTTTTGTTTTTGAAAAAAAAAAAAACCTAGTGTTCTTGAAAAGAAGAAGAGAAAATTGGCAAGTTGTAATATCCACGATGCAGTATTTGACACTGGTAGTGATGATGGTTCCTTGTTGATGGAGGTTATTTGCAAGAAACAGTTGGTTTCAACTTGCTGATCTTGATGGCTGCTGTTAAAAACAGCAGGGGAGAAGATTCTTGCTGGTGAATTTGGCGGAGGAGGGCTGTGGCTAGATGCTGATCTGTGGAGTGGAAGAACGACAACAGGTTGCTGATGCTGTTAGAGGACCTGCTGAGCTAGAAACAGCTGGTGTTTGGACTGTCGTAGGGTCGACTGATGGAAAACTGTGGTTGAATCAAGGGTTGCAGTTGCAATCCGGTGGTTCTGTGGCTGAAACAGCAGGAAGAAGAAGTGAAAACTGCTATACTTGAAGTTCTGGGATCTGAAAACAGTAGCTAGAAGAAGTGGACAGGTGCTGGTATTGCAGGTCTTGGGCTGAGAAGAAGGGCTGGAGACAGCTGCTGGAAGAAAACTGCTGTAAAAAGCAGCTGTTAACTGCTGGAACAGCAGCTAAAAGCAGGATCAGGAGCGACTGAATGATTCTTGGACTTGAGATGCTATGGAGACTGTTAGGAGGCTGAGACAGTGTGCTGAAAGAACTGTACAGAACGTTTCTTGGAGGCAATTTGCGGCTGCAGGAAGATGAGACGTAGAGAATTTGATTGTTTAACTGTGGGAAAAGAAGAGGGAACTGTTGAGGAAAGAAACATCTTGCAATGGCATGAGGTCTGTCTCAACGAGAGCACCATTGATATGCTTCTTGATCCATATCAAGAAGGGGAAGACATCTTTCAAGTAGGTTTAGACTCCCCAGAGAAGAAGAATGGAAGATAATATAGACCAGAAAGGAGGAAACCAGAATTTTATTCATTCCATACCAAATCTTTACAACTAGAATAGTATTTAGAAAGGACAGAACCTGTTTAGCAACTCTATGTGCTAGGTTCATTCGCCAAGGGTATTGAACTTGAAGAAGTTCCTTGGTGCTAAGAAAAGCTCGTCATTTATTGAGTTAGACTTTGAGCTTTCTGGATCCAAGTGAAGTTAGTTGGCACAACTTCCCACCCCAATGCTGCTCAGATTGTAGCATAGTTACTTTTGTACGAATCACTTCGCTTCAAAGGGGTGCTCATTTTAACATCATTGGTAGTTTATGTTCCGTGACTGAAAAATGTAGGAATTGAGGTGTCCTGTTAGCATCTGTAGCATAATAGCTGTAAAATTGACATCATTGGAGTATTTTCGGTTGATATTTAAGAACTTGCTGATGCAGATAGGTTCCTTGAGCAATTATAGAATCGCAAAATTGTATTAGTTTCTTATGTCTATTGCCTATTTTTCTGATCCTTTTCCTTCGATATTTCTTATATTAAAATGCAAACCAGTTTTTTAGATGATATGCTGTTGACCTATTGAGCTATAACAGAATCACAATATTGAATATGCATCTCGTGCCTACAGCTCGTTTTATCTAATCTATTTCCTTCAATATTCTGATATTTAAATGGAGACTAACTTTTCTTTTTTTTTTAATTATTAGAATGTGCAAGTATAGCATATCCTTAATATTTGTTTCATATGTGCAAAAAAAAAAAAATGTTTCATACATTCAAAGACTTCTTAATGTTATGTTGGCTGCAGCTTTTGCAATCCTTATTATGTATTTTTATCTGAAGGTATGCTCATAACGAGGAGACAGGTGATGACCAAGAAGAAACTGGGTGGAAATATGTTCATGGTGATGTCTTCCGGTTCCCCAAGAACAAATCTTTGCTAGCTGCTAGTCTTGGCTCGGGCACTCAGTTATTTGCTCTGTAGGTATTCATGGTAGATCGTTTGAATTTTTGTTTATGCAAAAGCATATGCGTATGAATCTTTATTGTAATTTTTTTATTCGTTTACTCCTACGTAATGCTTTATGGTGGAAATATGTTCAGGGGAGACTTGTAACGCTTTATGGTGTCTAATGTTGGCCATTAAAAAAGAAACATAATACTAAGTTAAGTGTTGTAGAGATGAGGATGCTCATGTGAATGAATGGCTTTACCCTTAGAGATAGGATACGAAAGGAGCATATACGTGAAAAGGTTGGAGTAGCTCTAGTGGAAGATAAGATTAGAGAGAGTCGCCTTAGATGATTTGGTCATATAAAACGACGGCCTTCTGATGACCCGGTTAGGAAAGTAGAGGTATTAGATTTGATTTATGTTAAAAAAGGTAGAAGTAGACCTAAAAAGACTTGGTTAGAAAATAGTAGACATGATCTTTCTTTATTAGATTTAAATAAGAATTTGACTTTTAACATGACACAATGGAGAAAAAAGATTCATGTAGTTGACTCCACGTAGTGAGGCAAAGACTTGATGTTGTTGTTGTTTACCCCCACGTAATGTAGTATTTAGTAGTGTACTAACAATTACATCTATTGCTAATTGTCATTCTCCATGGCATGTCTTTGCAGTGCAATCTTCGTTTTTGTCCTAGCACTGGTGGGGGTATTCTACCCTTACAATAGAGGAGCTCTTTTTACTGCCCTGGTTGTTATTTATGCACTAACTTCAGGCATTGCTGGTTATACTGCAACATCCTTTTATTGGCAGCTGGAAGGAACGAACTGGGTATGTACTGACTTTTCTTTCCTCTTCAAGTTAGTTTTGGTGTTTGCATGTCGAGAGATTATTACGTGCGGGTGTCAGGACCGTCCGGAGGCGAATCTGGACGTGCCACGTCACTTGGATGCACCGGCCCCGGGTGAAGTGGCGCATCCAGATACACCTCCGAACAAATCCGGACGCCACACGAAATAATTTTCCCCGCATGTCTTTTGTATAATCATCAGGTTTTACAGCGTGTGATTTATAAGCTTGTGTAAAGCTAGCTTATTACAACTTCAAAATTTGTTGGCAGATTAGGAATCTGCTTTTGACGGGATTTCTGTTTTGTGGACCTCTATTCCTGACGTTCTGCTTTCTAAATACTGTAGCTATTGCATATAATGCTACGGCTGCACTGCCATTTGGTACCATTGTTGTTATTGCTCTAATATGGGCACTGATAACATCTCCTCTGCTTGTTTTGGGCGGGATTGCTGGCAAAAATGGCAAAGCAGAGTTCCAAGCCCCTTGTCGCACTACCAAATATCCTAGAGAAATTCCACCTCTTCCTTGGTACCGAAGAACTATACCACAGATGGCAATGGCTGGTTTTCTTCCTTTCAGCGCTATCTACATTGAGTTGTACTACATATTAGCCAGCATGTGGGGCCACAGGATTTACACGATTTATAGTATTCTCTTTGTGGTTTTCATAATCCTTCTTATTGTCACTGCATTTATTTCTGTGGCAATGACCTACTTTCAACTTGCTGCTGAAGACCATGAATGGTGGTGGAGGTAGGCTAATCTTCAAGAATTTTTTTTTTTTAGTATCTACATTCATCTATTCTTGTTTCTATTTCGTGTAACCTTACTGGTCTTATATTTAATATACTTATTACATTGGGGGTGTCCCTACCCTCTTTGCTTTCTTGCCTATTCACTAGAGTTTGCTTTGACTTACTGTATTTGATAGGAAATACTTGAGTTCGCAAGTAACCCTAGCAATAATCTGTAAAAACAGCGATAAATATGCTGATTTTAGAGAGAAGACAGCAATAACGATGCAGGAATTTCAAAATATTAGAGAGAAACACAAGGAAAACTTCTTCTATTCAATTCACGAACAAAAAAAGCAATACAAAATACAATTATCTTCAATTCGAGAGGAAGAAACGACTATCCAATTCTCTAGCAAAGCCTAGAGCCCAAAAGCACAAACTCTAGATCTGAGATCGATTTCAAATTCAAGATGAAACTCTAATTCTAGCATTAGCAATTAATTAAAGCCAAATGAGAAATACAAAATTCTTAAACAGCCCTTAATTCAAATTTCCCTCCTAAACGCCAATTTAATTAATTGTTTGGACCCACTAGGGCATCCGCCCCTCCCCCTTGGTTCTGCCCCCTGATTTGGGCTGCCGGCTGTAGAAGTGAACCGGTCCAAATTGACCGGTTCAGCCGGCCGGCCTAACAATATCATCTTTTTTTTTCTTTTTTTTATATCATCTATTATTTTTTGCTTCAATCATTCTCTTATTGTAAATCTTGTCCATCTCACCATTCCTTTGTTGTCTAATTTGAATGTACCTCTCATGATCAATGATTGGAAACTTGGAATGTCATTTTTGAAGTTCAGTTGTCAAGTGGATTGGCTAAATTTTCTGATGTTCTGTTTACTTGTGTTGATTTGCTACAGGGCATTCCTCTGCGGAGGATCAACTGGTTTCTTCATCTACGCATATTGCTTTTGCTATTACCATACTCGGTTAAACATGTCAGGATTTATGCAAATATCCTTCTTCTTTGGCTACATGGCCTGCATCTGCTATGGTTTCTTCCTCATGCTCGGCACAGTAGGTTTCTGTGCTTCACTGCTTTTTGTTCGCCACATTTACCGGTCCATCAAGTGTGAGTAGTCCTTGGCAACACTGATTGAGGTTTCATTTGGGACGGCTTTTTTACTGCTTCTTAAAGCAACTTTTTAGTATATTTTTTTTTTTGTTGTACTAGAAAATTGTTTTAAGAAGCAGTAAAAAAGTTATTCCAAATGAAACCCGAAACAAATACAGTTAATTTGATTGGAGAGGCAAAAAATAAAAGGATGATGAATTTAGTATTCTCATGAGCATTATGGGCCACCATGTAATTGAGGTTTTATGCTCTTTAGCTGGAGGTAGGTAAAACTTGGTAATGAATGAGTTGTTTGATTAATTTACTGAAACATTATCATTCTGTACTTATTATTTTTTGCCCCTAAATCATCGCTCGTTTCTTTCGCGCCTTCTCAGACGAGTTCGGTAAAGAAAAAGAAATGGCACAAGTGAACAGTGCGACGCCAATATTGGCGTTGCACTGTTCAACTGAGATCAAATGGCGGAAAAAATAGCGTAATATAATAATAATATTTAATGATATCATTATATTAAATATTTTATCAAATATTATATTAAAAATTATACATCATTATTATTTAGTATTTATAATTAAATTCAAAAAAGCCACATACAAGCTGCTCTTGTACAGTCCTATATTCCCCCATGCCTTGCTTTGAAGAGCAGCATATAGGTGAAACGGATTGAAGCAGCAGCTCTGATTCAAAAGAGACTATTGATTTATTGTAACTCGTATTTTCTAATTTAGGGTTTCTCTGTATAAAATCAGGAAGACAGAACAAACCAATACAACTGAATTCAGTGCAGAATGGCATTGCGATATCATTTACTCTCAGAATCTGGATTTATATCCATAGCATTACTGAAGCTGATCCATGATCAAGTTGAACAGCGATCAACAGTAATAGTATGAAGGATCAAATCGATGTTTCCTGAGCTCGACTCTCTACCTCCACAAGAGAGCCATCGCCGAGCTCCCTTAGCATCGCCACCACCTGCAGCATGCTCGGCCTCTTCGACGGAAAGTCATCTACGCACTTCAAAGCAATCTCAAGAAATCCCTCCATTTCCCTCAACTCTATCTCCCCAATCCCATTCACAGCTTCAGTCAGCAGCTCCTTATCCAAAACCTCTCTCCCCTTCCCCTCCCCAAGCCTAATCTTCACCCATCCCACAAGATTTGTATCGCCAAAATCCTCCTTATCGGTCGGCCGCCGCCCGGTGATGATTTCTAGCAACACTACTCCGAACGAATATACATCCCCCTTGGCCGTGCACCGGAAGCTCTGGTAATACTCCGGCGGGACGTAGCCGGGCGTTCCGGCCAACGTGCTCACGCTCAGATGAGTGTCGAGAGCGCTGATTAGCCTCGCCATTCCGAAATCTGAAACCCTCGCTTCCATCTCCCCGTCGAGCAGGACGTTACTCGATTTCATATCCCTGTGTATAATGTGCGGAATGCAGTTGTGGTGCAGGAAGCAGAGTCCCTTAGCTGACCCGCGAGCTATCTTCTTCCGCTCATCCCAGTTCAGTGCCGTATCCCGCTCCCGCCGTCTCCCGTGAAGCATGTCCTCGAGGCTTCCGTATCTCATGTACTCGTATACCAGCAAACGTTCTTCGCCGACCTTGCAGTAGCCCAACAGTGGTACTAGGTTTCGATGCTTGATCTTTCCCAGCGTCTCCATCTCTGCGGTGAACTCCCGATCCCCTTGGTAACTCAAGTGGATCAGCTTCTTGATGGCGACGCTCGAACCGTCCTTTAGCGTGGCCTTGAATACCTCCCCGAACCCTCCGCTCCCGATCATGCTCGCGGCGGAGAATCCGTTGGTCGCCTCGATCAGCTGTGAGAACGTCAGCTTTCGTAGCTGGCGTTGGAACGTGGCAACGTTGATGCTGAGCGGCTCCTTCTCTTTCCCGATCTTCCAAGTTGTCGCCGCGTGCGCCGCGTGGAGGCTGCCGAGCATTTTTGCCTCCTCCGCCTCCCGCCGCCGAGCCCTCGCCACGATCGCCCACACGATCACAACGCAAATCACTGCCACTGACATCAACACCCCGAGCACCACGCTGTTCGCCCAGGCCGCTGCGGCCGGCCGGTTGCTCCTCCTCCCTAAATTCTCTCCAGCCGCCGGCGGGAGTTCACGGCTCACCTGGCAAGGGGGCAGCGGGACCCCGCAGAGGCCCGGGTTATTCGCGTATTGGCTCGCCGGGAGAGTGCTGAGCTGCCCCCTTGTTGGGATCGGTCCCGTCAGGTTGTTATCTGACAGATCGATTTGAACCAGAAAGGAGAGATTCGAAAAGGAATCAGGTATCTCACCTTGGAGTTTATTATGCGACGCGTCGAAAACTCCTAGATTCCTCAGTCGGCCGAGCGACGCAGGGATCTCGCCGGACAGTCTGTTGTGCGCGAGGTCGAGCACCTGGAGTACTACCATGTTCCCAAACTCATCGGGTATCCACCCGTGTAGCTCGTTATAGGAAAGGTCGAGGTACTCAAGGGTCTGGTAATGTGTCCAGTCATTCAGAGCGGCACCGGAATAAAGCCTGGTGAAGTCGCACGACTTCAGCGTCGGTACCTGGAGGAGCCTCTCCGGCCGGATACCGGCGAACTCCAGCAACCCTCCCACGCCCTTGCATAAATTCCCCACATTCCGCACAAAAGCCAGCGTGTTGCCTGACAAAATGCCGCTGAGAGCCCTTTCTCCCAGCTGCCGGCCAAGGCGTGGCGGGATCTCCCCTGAGAGTCTGTTGCTGTTGAGATCCAACCACACAAGGCTGGTGCAATTACGGAGTTCTGGCGGAATCTTGCCCCTGAGGCTATTGTTGGCCAGCTGCAACACGGCAAGGCGCGAGAGGCGGCCCAGCTCACTGGGGATGCTTCCGGTGATGCGGTTGCTGGTGAGAGATATCCACTCCAGATCGCTGCAGTTGAAGAGCTGCAAAGGTATGTCGCCACTGATGAAGTTGTTGTTGAGGATCAGGTTCTTCAACTTTGGGCACAGGCCAAGTTCTGCAGGAATGCTTCCGCTGAGGCCGTTGAACCATAGCATCAGCAGTTCCAGGTTATGAAGGCGGCCGAGCTCTGGTGGGATCAAGCCTTCAAGGTTGTTTATGCTGAGATCAATTGTCCTCAGCTGCGAGCAGAGGGACAATTGAGATGGGATATTACCGGTGATCATATTGTCTGGGGCAGAAAGCTCTTCTAGGGAGGTGGCTCCTGGGCAGATATTTGGCGGCAAGGGACCAGTGAGCTTGTTTGAGCTGAAGTCTGCTATCCTTAAGCTCTTGCAGGCAGAGATAGAGCTTGGGAATGACCCTGATATAAAGTTATTGCTCAGCAATAAACTCTCAAGGGATGAGAGGTTTTGTAGAACGTCTTCTGGAATTGGACCAGAGATGTTGTTGTTGGCTAAGTCTAACAACTGGAGGGAGGAACAGGAGGAGAAGGAGTTTGGTATTGAGCCGGAAATGTTATTTGTGGAGAGCTTCAGTTGTTGAAGGGATCCACAGGCATTGCCTAGTCCTTCTGGGATTGAACCAGTGAAGTGATTGCCAGAGAGGTCTAGCCTCTCAAGGCTTCGGAGTAGGGCAAAAGAATCAGGTATCTCCCCAGCTAGTGCATTGTAAGAGAGGTTCAGGAATTTGATGCTGGTGCAATTGGACAAGGAGTTTGGAATTCTACCGGTTAGGTGATTATTTGAGAGATCCATGTGCAGCAAGCTCTTGCAGGAGTTTCCAAAGTTTAGGCTGGACATGGTGTTTGATATGTTGTTGAACGAGAGGTCAAGGAATTGAAAATTCTTCAATTCAGCAATGAGATTCTCTGGAATAGCTTCGATTAAGTTGTGTGAGAGATCAACATGCACTATATTGGCATGAAATGACGGAAAATTTTGGGGTATGATTCCAGAAAGCCCTGCAGAGGAGAGATCAAGCTTTTGCAGTGCATGAGGGAGCTGAACTAGGCTAGTGGAATTGATGGAGAAGGAATTGCTGGAGATATTGAGGAAAGAAAGCATGGTAAGAAATGATAGAGGGTAGAACGAGAGTCTTCCTGAGAGATTGCATCCACTGAGATTTAGCTGTGTTGTTCGGCCAAGAGTGCATGAGACTCCAAACCAGTTGCATGGGTTTCTTCCAGGCTTCCAATTGGAAAGAACTCCACCAGGGTCCTTCTCAATTGTCTTCTTGAATAGAAGCAGAGCTTCTGCATCTGTTTTGATACTTTGGTAAAGCTCATAGTTTTGTTCAAATATTGATGACAAAGACAAAGATATCATACTGAAAAGAAGGGTTAGAAGGATAGAAATATAGAGAACTTGGATATTTTTCTTCTCCATGGGAGATTTAGTGAGAGCCTGAGAGATAAGGCGGCAGAATTCTTGTTTTAAGAGGTCACAATGCTGGTGAATGGGGAAAGCTAGAAGGGAAGGGGCAGAGATGCTTGTAGTGATGGGCTTAGGAGTTGGTGAGCTATTTCTCAGGGTTTTGTATAAAGCCAGCGAAGTATCAGTTGAAATATCTAGGGTTCAGGACAAATAAGGTGATCCAACAATGCTTTTTCTGAACAAAAGAGAAGAAGTGTTTTGCCTTCAAAGGGGATCCCAAGGACTACATTGTGGACCTATAGAAATGATATATATATATATTAGTCCATCCAAAGGTATTCAAGCTTTGGATATGGACATGCTCCAATGCTTGTTCTGGTACATTTTGGTGGTCCCCACCCCTCTTTTCCTTGTCCAATTTTGTTATTATTTTGATGGTTCTGCCTGTTGAGAGCATTGGTAATTTTTTTTCCAGGGGTCTAATAGAGGGGAAAATATTGGGTTCGGACATCGGACACAGCTTACCGTTCAGAGACTGATTAGGTACAGCCACGTTATCCAATCTCGAGTAATACTGAGCTCGGTATTGTGAAGTACTAAGTTCGGTACTGAGTAGTATCGAGCTCAGTACTGCTTGGTACTGTTCAATACCGAGTAGGGGATGATGCGGCGTATTTTCATTGGGCTCTGGATGGCGGACATCACCGAACCAATAATTTCCCCTAATAGAGGTATGTTTAGCTTGCGTTGGAGGCACAACTTTAATGAAATAAAGTTGAAACTGCATGCATCAGGATAGGCCCTTATGTTCCCCTTCCACAAAAGTTGATGACCCACCACAAGAATAAAGCATCACCGGTCTTTCTCCTCTCAGGCACTCATAAAACAATGGCATGCCATCTAAGGTGATTATGGCTTCTTTTCCAGACTTCACTGTTTCTTTTCATTCATGCTTCTTAACTTCTTTTAAGTTGTGCTTTTTCTGTAAAGGTTTGGTTTTTCTATATTATTAACTTTTTTGGAAAACAGAACCAAATTTGCTCATTAGATGAACCCATTAATTTAAAATTCTACGGTCTCCATAAGAATTTTGTGCCATAGAGTTGATTGACTGCTAGATCATATCTTTTAAGGGGTATCTACTACTTTTAGAAAGCTATTCTTAGTATATTATTTTTATGGTATTCCTTGTAGCTCTCGCACGCATCGCCAATAAGATGGCATGTTCGACAGTAAGGTGAGATCAAAGAAACCCCTTTGTGATAATGTTTCTCCTATGTGATGACAACCCACTTAGATTTGAGTGGAATTAGTCATTATGGTAGTAATATCCCCGATCAGTTCACGTGTGATCATAATTATTCTGACATAAACACGCACTAAAAAGTGGGGGTTCCAGTAGTTTAGATAGGAAGGCACTGGTTTCGATTCGCATTAGTGAAACACTTTACTTTTCGATTCTCATTAGTGAAGCACTTTACTTTAAGGTCTTATCTTATTGAAGTAGATTAGAAATTAATTATTTTTTTCTGCAACTGATTGCCTTGTGTTGGGATGGAAGTAAATATCGCGATAAAATAAAGAAGAAAAATAGAAAACAGCGAAAATATAATGACACTAGGTTTTAAGGTGGAAAAATCCAAAATAAGGAGAAAAACCACGGAGCTATACCACAACAAGAAATTCACTATGAAAATGGCGAGAAATAAGCGCAAATCTCTTTTCTTTCTTATACTGTTCTCACACTCAAAACATAAGAGAAAGTCAAATAATATTACCAAGGGACACCATCCTTCAGAAAAACAAGAAAAAATCTGTCTAGTCCGCCTCGCAGCACTGGACAACGTTGTGGCGCTCAAACCCGCAACGCTGTGCTGCAGCACTACATAGCACTGCGGTGTCAAATCTAGAACGTTGCGGCGCTCCACTCTCTGTTGTTTCTCTCTGATAACTTTGCAACACAGGCGCTCCAGAACACAGCGCCGAGAACACAGTTCTGATTGATCGACACAATAAGATTCCAAATAGACTAACACCTTGGAGTATCTGATTTTTAATCATGGTTGAATTCTGTGATGCAAGTTTTCACATATTCTTACTGTTAGTTCAAACAAATATTTACCGATGCAAAGATGTATCATAGCATATCTAAGGGTTGAAGAGGTTGGCCTGACATGAATCTACCTGAATTTATATTTGGGCTTCTCCTAAGTTCAGCTGACCTCTCATCAATAATTTCTTTCGAAATTGTTTGCAACTGGTGATGGAACATGCAATATGATTGAAAAATCCATCATGAGGAGATACATGAATTGTCATGAAGAGAGTGATGATCTTAGTTCTGATATCATTCTCATCTTATTGTAAAGGTATCTTATAGCACCTTATTAAGCTGGTTTGTACTGCTATATTGTTTTTTGTTCATTTATATTGCCAAATATGTTGGAATAAAGACGACGACCTGATGCCGAAGATCAAGTTCTGTAAAAAAAAAGGCTATGTGTGGCATCAGCCACTGTCATATATAGCATAGGGCAGCGGGTAAGAACTGGGTCAAGGACATTATTTTAGAAGGTAATGAATGATAAAAGTAGAAATACGACAAGCATGGAGCTAATAACTTTATTTCTTCCAATCCCTTAGATTTATGATAATTGGATGGAGTAAATATGGTGGTGAAAGGATGGTGACTGCTAGACCGGTCCATATGGGACCGGCCCAGGCGAATAGAGGCGGAACTTCTCCGCCTCTCCCGCAGAGCCGATCAATCCACAAGTTTTTGGGAGCCAAATAGGAAAGAATTTTGGGGGAATTAAGAGGGAAATTTGAATGTCGTGACTGTTTAGAAATGTCAGGACTGTTTAGAGATTTCTTTTTTATTTGTATGCATTAAATAGTTTGTTTTCCTAGGGTTAGGGCATCTTGAATTTGGCTAAAAATTTGAGATCTCCGAGATTTAGATTTTCCTTTGGGCTGTAGCAGCGTCAAGATATTGGGAGAGATCGATCCTCTCGAATAGAGGATCAATTGTATATTGGTATTTTCCGCTTTCTTTTCATCAAATAATACAAATTATCTACTGTTTTCGTGGTTTTGTGTGGATTTTTGTGGAGAAATCTCGCTGTTTTCCGAAGATTGATAGGAAAAACTTGAGATCTACAAGTGTTTCGTATCAGTGACTTACCCAGTTAGATCATGGCTTATGGTGGTTGATTTCCCATAAGAGAAAGCAAAGAACTACACCCATAGGAGAAGGATTTGCGAATTAAGAACGTAAATACTAAAGATAAAGTAAATTAAGGCCTATTCATGAATCAGGATTTAGGACAGTGGGAATATGCCACGCAACGTGATCCTCTTTAGCTTGATTGGTGGTGATTTCATGAGGATGTCGGAGCGTGACTTTTGACGCAACCGCACGAGGGTCTATGAGGTTTAGTTTATTTGCTGGACCGGATTACTGTATGGGTTGCCAAAAGCATTAGCAGCTGCTTTGCACTTTTGTAAGTGTATTTAATAGTCATGTAATCATGTAAGACGCATAATTTATTTTTGTTTCCCGGACAGATTATGAGAAATCTGATTTGTGGAAAGCAATGCACGAGAGGTCTTATTAGTTAAAAGGATTGTTCTTTTACGATAATTTAAGTCCATGCTCCAGTTTTCAAGCTGGACCACCATGTTCCAGCTTATATCAATTCATATTTAGCTTGCTAGCAGATAAATCTCTGATACACATAGAATCATAGAGGATTACACTCATAACATGAACATTGTGTAGGATCATTTCACATATATGATGCATTATGAGAAGTAACTGTTAGGGGTGTCAAAATTGACCCGACCTGAAAATTTTGGATTCAGGTCAACCTGCATACCATGCAGGTCGGGTTCGGGTTCCGTTTTCTGACCCGTTTATAAAATTGGGTCCAGTTCAGGTTGACCTGAAAATCCGAACTCAAACCGGTTTGATCCGAAAACTCGCACCGCGCTCGCTCACCTCGCCAACATCGTCGTCCTCGTGTTCGTCCGGGATCAGGTTTGCCTCACGTGACTCGCGTTCACAATCTCACGGCTCAACTGCTCAAGTCTACCGCTCGGTCCGTCCCAACTCCACGATACGCCTCCTCCTGCTGCCTTGTGCCTCACGTCTAGCCCACGTTCGCCTCGTTCGGTCCGTCCGGATTGGACTCCTATCACCGCCGCACAACGCGTTTGTTCAACCAATTTGCTCTGCCAACACGACCTGCACAGCGTGTCTGGGTTTGTTGTTCGCGTGTCAGGTCGGGTCAACCCGACAACCTATGCGGGTTCATATTTGGGTTGACCCCTAAATCAGATTGGTGTGATGAACCTAAACCCGACCCGTTGACTCATTCTGGCACCCCTAGTAATTGTTATGATTTAATATCATCTAACATGTAATTGCAATGATTGTCGTTGGTTTCTTGCAATTCCTTACAGTTCTATTATACATCGTGCAAATTGTTTTGAAAGGATGGGAGAGATTTCATCAAAATTTTGAAAACTAACTTCAATCATGCAGAAAATATTTGATGATCGGAATGGGAGGCTGAGGAAGCGCGGTGGCCACCGCAGGTATTAATAATATTTGAATGCCACAGCTAGAAAAGGAGAGTTGAGCTGCGCTGAATGATGAATCCTTCCGCACCACACACGATCTCTCATAATTGTTCTGCTGTACGTACCATCTTTGCCTTCTTTGTGAGAAGTTCATTGCCTCTGTTCCTTTTTCTTCGATAAGAAAGTTGAGCAATGATGAAAATGGGATGGGAAGCAGCATCAGCGTGTTGCCTTCCATTGATTCCATTCACTATAGAGTAATTATTTCCTATTAGCCACTATGGGCCTGTTTGATTTTTTTTTTTAATAAAGAAGAGCATAAGAATTTTATGAGATTTTTTTTTTAATTATTATAAGCATTATAAATTATTTTTAAAAAACCTAAATAATACTTTTGAGTAGCTACTACTTTTTTACCACAAAATTTTAAGGGTCCTAAGAAAGCAATAACTGAGTAAATATGTGATAATAATTAGAAATATATATACCTCAAATAGATTCAACAGAAGGTAGTGGGAAAAATATAAGAACAATTTTGGGTTATTTTCTATATCATTTGTATTATTGATATTCATTAATCTGTTATAAATTTTAACAATCAAAAAAATTTTGTACTAAAAAATTACTTCATCAAATAATAAGGAAGCTATTTCAAACGAAGCCTAAATTAAGAAACAGGTTCCTGAAGCCAATATCAAAGAACATTGGTTGAGCTCAATTTCATTAAAATATCAACACAACAAGCTTTTCAGCAATCCTATCCAAGCCAATGATGTCAGATTCCAAGCCTATTG